ACACCGCGCATCCGCTCTCCGCCTCCGCGCTCGCCCCTGCTCCACCTTCAGGCCCTTTTTCTCTTAAGACTTAGGTTTCTTCAATTTTTTTGTTGTGAACCCACTTCCTGCCCCCCACGACGTGTGTGGCTTGCAACAAGCATCTCGTATCGAAGGCAAAAGGTATTGCACGAATTTGGCACGGGAATACTGCACGGATGGGGAAGGACCTGGGTTTTTCCCTTGGGTGACCGCAGAGTCTCAGCACAGAATGAAAAGAAGAGAAGTGGCCGCGCTCAAGCTACGCCATAAAACTTGAGCATCCAGAAGATCGGGCTCTCGCCATCACAGCGAGTCTAGCAAAGGTGAAAAAAAAAAAACCCAACAAACCCAAAAACCAGTAGTGTAACTTTGGGCAAAACTACCATCAACTGGTCCAGTGTTTCTTACTGGGCTCAAGAAGAACCCGAACGTCCACGTCCTCTGTGCAAAAATTAGCAGCTTTAGGACAACATTGTTACTCTGAACACAACAATCTCGGTCGCTTCTGCAGGTCTACCTGTCCCCTCGCGCTCGTCAGCGTCCGAGGCTGCGCTAGCTGCGGAGCCCGTCCCTCGGATTTACTGGGGCCTGTTTGAGGACGTCGGCAGCCTAATGGAGGATGGAAATTGTTAGGTACAGTAGCTAATCGACAATATATACAGCAAAGGGGGAAGGGGGAGGGAAGGGTGAAGAGGAAAGAGCTCCGAGTGAACGCGAGATGGACATCAAACGAAGCGGCGATCGTACGGACATCGACATCCTGCTGCTCTGCTTGTCTGAACACCGGCACTGCCGAGCGATCGCAAACGGATGGCCCGAGGGAGAGAGGAGGAAAGGGAGGGAGAGCAGGGAGGTTCACCACAACGCAAGGCAGCTGTTGGTTTACCAAGTCCTTGCACTGAACTAGATCCTCACCATATTCACGCGGTGAGAATCGAAAGCCGTTGGCCAAAGGAAACAGTTTGTTTGAGGGCTGGAGGAGAGACGCCAAGTGGCCACCATCCAAGTGCCACCTGCACAGTGAGACAAACTGGATGTTCACTTTGCTTAGCCTAGAGTAGGACTGATCCGATTTAAGTAAACCTTTTTTTTTTTTTCCTGAATTAAAATCTACGAGAGCAGTCGGGGAAGGGGGGGAAATCTGGGAGAGTTCACTGTATATTCTTGAGTCAGAACCAGAAAACATCTCTAAAACCCCCAAGGCGGCCAACAGTAGACCATTAAGTCAATATTCACAGGCTATCAATTCATTCCTTTCTAATAGTCACTTAAGCATTTTTACACTTAAATTTAAAACCAGGAAACCAAGCCCTGGTTCTAAAGGCAATGTCAGGACACTCATTTCCCAGGAGCGGGAATCCCAGCTGCGCTGCCTTTTGGAATAAAAGTACAGATTGCAGCCCACGCTCCATCCTTTTTGTCCCCGCTGGTCTATGCTCTTCTCCTGGAGCAGTCACTCAGAGATTCTGGGCCTCCTGGTAATTAAAGCCATTCTTGGCAAAGCTAATTTTTGCATCACTGGTCAAATCATTCACGTCACCTACCTTACTATTGAACACCAGCGGGAGCCGTCTAAAATAGATTAATGGACTCTTAAAATGCAAAAGTCTGATTCTCATTGAAAAACCAGCTTGTTTGGGTAGGATTTTCTTCACTGCATTTGGTGAAGAAAAAAAAAATGTACTAATTTAGAAAGTAACATTTAAGTGCACGTGGCCTATGAAAACAAACATAAGCTGCCTAAAATGCAGTCAGAGTTTGAGTCTTAACAGGTTTTTCTTGTTTTTTTTTTTTTTTTTTTGTATGTATACAAACACAGCAGGCAACCTGGGCGCTTGGACTTTCTAGACAGGCAGAAGAACGTTGCACAAGTCTGCATTCCAGTCAATTCAACTTTGCAGTGGATCCCTCTTTCCTTTAAAGAAACACAAAAACAAAACAGAAAACAGCCCCACCCCCACCCCCCATGGTTTCTTTTCTTGGAATGGTTGCACCTCTTATAATAAGATGGCTTCATTTTTGTGATCTATGAAAGGAAAAGGAAATAAAGTGCTTCTTGAGAATAAATCAAAATAAATATACATATTTAATGGCAGGAAAAAAGTTCTGAAGGGCTACCTTCAGCCAGGTCTTTTCTCAGATGAGTCTTTTCCCCCATGACTTTTTCAAGAGCAATCTGCACAACAGTTGAAGATGCCAAAAACTGCTTTTAGCAGCAGAGTTGAATTCTCCCAAGTCTGCGTCCGCTCCATCACTGGTTTGTAAAACCTGTGCAAAACACCTTTGCCCAAAGTGCTGCTCCTCCTGCACAACAGCATCAAATAAAATAAAAAAGAAAGAACAGAAGGGAAAAAAAACCCAACGAAAACCACCCAACGAAAAAAAAGAAGGGAAAAAAAAAAAAAGAAAAATCCACCCAGTTACATGGACTTCATCCCATTGGCAGTGGTGTTCTCGGAGATCCCGTCGCTCACAGCTGCTGAGTCATGGAGGCCGGAGTAATCCTTGAGTTCAGAGTTTGTCAGGAGAAGAGGCTGCTCCCCCTTCTTGTGCGGCAGGAGGGGCTGCCGGGTGTAATGTTCCCCATCCGGGATGTTCTCGGGCAGGTTCTGGTTCTTGCTCTCCGGCAGCAGCAGGATGCAGATGATGCAGATGAGCGTACAGCAGGCGAAGATGACGTGGTGGAGGAAGTAGCCTTTCTGGTTGTGGAGCTCCATGATGGGGGCGGTCAGGCGGCCGAAACCCGCGCTGGCCAGGACCAGCCCCAGCCCGCCGCCCCTGCGAACACAGCAGAGGTGAGAGCCCGGCCCCGCAGCCCGCTCCCACCAGTGCAGCCCCCTCGGCACTGGGGTGGGGAGCCCGCAGCCCTGACGGGTCCCCCCGACTGACCCCCTGTCCGGCACGCACCCGGGCATCCGAAATCTCTGAGACAAACCTGGTTTGTTTGCTCTCAGCTTCCGCGCTCCGTAGTTACTCCAGCAGGGAGTTGCTTTGCTGTTGTAGGTCACTGCTGCCTATTTGCCTCGGTGTGGGGAAATAACTAAACCCACTTTGGTGCCCTTTCACACCCATGTAACTGCCCCCACATAAGGAGAAGAGGAGCTTTATCATGCGAGTGTGTAGACAGCCCTCTGAGGTATTCCCATTTCCGAGTATTCCCATATTCAGCGAAGGAAAACCAGATTTTGCTCAGCGTGCGAGCCTTCTCCACCTTACACAAGACACACCGAGAAGCAGAAGGTGCAGAAGTCAATTTTGTCTGCTCTAAAGTATCCGGCATCGATGGGCAGCGGAGGCAGGAGATGAGCCTTTACCGGCCGCTGCCTCGATCCGTTATACCAAACACTGAGTGCTGAAATATTATCTCCATAAAAACGTCTTGCGGCTGGAACTTCTCAACACACTGATATTGTAATAACATGCATCATTTTCAGAAAAGAAAAGATAAAATAGCCAGTGGTCAGGCTAGGAGAGCAAGAGTTTGGGATTCATTTCTGAGACCTCCTCTTAACTTGCTTGACAAGTTGAGGTAGGTCCCTCACTTCACTCTTTATTGCTCTTCTTGTGTGTTCTTGTACCACAGGAAGGGGCTACGAAAAGGTTAACATCGGTGAAATGCTTAAATTGTAAATAGGTAACTTTACAAAATATTCTTTATGGCACAAATGCTTATTTATTAGATGCAATGTGCTCGTATATTGAGATCATACATGCACGCACTCCAAAAAAAAAAGTGAAAACACATTAAAGCTTAAGGAAAAAAAAAAAAAAGGTGAAAATACCCTCATCTGCCCCAGCCACAAGCATGGAAGTTGCATGCCAAATTCAGGGCTCTCTCCTGATGCTCGGCTATGCAAGCAGCCTCTCTTGCAATTCCTCCTCTTGCTCATCAATGTCTCTCCAGGTCCCGGAGCAGGCGCGCCAGGCACACCTCCGGCCCTGTGCCCACTCCGTTTTGAGGCACGGCTCGTGCTCCTGGGACCTGTCCCCACTGGGTGACCCCCACACAGAAGCGGCACTGTGGGCATTTCTCCGGGGCAGACCTTTCCCTCCTCCTGCTGTGGCACAACCCAGGTCTCCGGCCAGTGGAGTGTCACCCTCAAGTGACCCATTTCAGCCACATCTCCGAGAGCGGCAGCTTGTCCGTGATTTTCCAAAGGCAATGCTGCCTATGGAAAGAGGTCTCCCTGTGAGCTTAATCACTGGCACCCTGCTCCTCACCCAGCTGGCCCGGGCAGCATGCTTCCTGCAGCTCCTCCAGGAGATGCCATCTATTCCCAAACCCTCTGGTGATCAGACGGGCTCAGGAGCTTCAGTTCCTGGCCCGATGGCAGAGACGTAACGATTAACAATAACCGGACCTTACAGAAGACAACTGCAGAAGGCGAATGAACTGCTTTACATCAACTACTTGGGAAAAAAAGGTTTCATTGACTATAGAGCGTCTAGAAATGACAGCACTGCTAACCTACAAATGCCAAATCCATTCAGCCAACCACCGTGTTAAAGCTGATCTTCACCCAATCCTTTCCAAAATCCACTGGTGCTTACTTGACAGCTGAAGGGCAGCAAGCGCAGGTTTCAAAAGATGCTCTCGGGACACTGCCTGGATCAAAAATTCCTCTATGTACCCTCTAATTCTCCAGGCTCGGCAGAGCATCTTTCACAGACAACAGTGCTTTCCCCAAATACTGCGGAAGGAAGCCCTTACTAAAAACTTGCCAGCTTCCCGATGGCAATTTAGAAACCCAGCTGAATGTGGCCATTGTGCGGCTGCCCTCCCTGCAACTTCATGAATACACTCACATGAGCGGCCCCGAACTCATGGCAAATCGTTCTCCAAGTCGGCTCCGGAGCAACAAAACCCTGGCTCACTTACATCACTCTCTGCTACGGCTGAATTGCATCTCAACCACCTCCAAGGACCTGAGGTGAGTTTGAAAAGCTGCTGTAGAAGGACATGGAGCAAGCTGAAAGGAAACAGGAAGAGGCAACGACAAAGACGGCTCTGTCGTTACGAGTCAAGCGGCTTCAGATCTGGAGGGGGAAAAAAGTTTTGCCATATGACGTCAGTAATTAGAGCAGATGTTACTTTAGCCAGCACCATCAAAACCTGGCAGAAGAAGACTTCAAAATACATTCTGGTGCATGTCCTAGAAGATTTTTTGTAATGTTTGACTATGCTGCAAATATGAGAATGGGAAAAATAATCCCCAAAACTGAAAATACTGTCAGGAATTTTTTGCTATTCTGGTGCACAGCAGGAAAACGGGTACAGGGCAACAGAGGCAGCGCCCTCATAATTAACACTGTTTTTGCAGTCGCCGTGGGGCAGCAGGTGGAATGCAAAAATGTTCAAGGAGTTTCGGATGGTTCACGCGAGGCTTACGGTCCTGACGTGGGCAAGTCGCAAAAGGACCTTGGTCCAAAATTTTGTCATCGGAAAGGGCCTCCCTGTTCACGGGGGACAATTTCCTCGCCCGCTATTGCAGCATGTTTTCAGAGAGCTGCAGAACGTCCCCACTGGTATCCTTTGCTGGAACCAGGCTAAACCTAAGAAAGGGGACTTGCCCTTCTCAGCACCGCTCAGGAGAACGGGGAAATCCTAGTCCTATCTTCGGGTGGCCATTTGTCTTGAGCAAATGGGTCAACATGTGGCATGGGAGTACAGAAGAGCCAGAGAACTGCTCAGGTTGGAGGAGACTTTGGGAGAGCACCTGCTCCAATCTCCTGCACAAAACGGGGCCAACACTGAATTCGGACCAGGTTTTTAGGGCTTTGTCCAGTCAGCTCAGCCACTTCTTGAAGTCAGTCCCTGAAAACCTCCATGTTTTTTCCCTGCCTTTCCTGTACTAAGCGACCCTGTTGTTTGCTTGGTCCTAGGCCACAGCTTCAACAACACACCGGGATACCCTTGGTCTCACAGGGCAAGGCACCACCTTCGGAAAGTCCAGCTGGGCTCAGGTCCCAGTAAACAGCACTGCACCCCAGTGGAAATTTGGCTTGAGACAGCTATTGATGGGTAAAGCTCTGAATTCAGCCGTCGCTGAACACTCTTCATTTCTTTGGCCAGGTGGGGGCAAAAGCAGAACACAGAGAAACCCATGGACCAGATCTCTTTTCCACTTGTTAGTAACCGAGCACACAGAGGACAAGGAGAGGACACATCGCTCTTTCCTCAGCCTATTCCTGTTTAGTAGCCGTGCAACTCGCAGTGGTGTTCCCATCAAGATTATTAGAGATGGATTATTGGGGCCACTTAGTGCCTAAATTCAGCATTTGGAAGGAGCTCTGTACCAAACCCCTCAGTATGAGGAACATGGGCTCCTGGTGAAGCCCTCCCTCCTAGTGCCAGGAGACCAGGGCAGATGGAGATGCAGTGCAAGGATACGAAGCACCCCTCCGTGCCACATGATGGTGGAGGACCTTCACATCTCTGGAGCAGGCAGCACCTCTTGGCGATGGTTGTGGCTACCCCAATAACGGCAGTGCACTTCTCCTCCCTCAGGGGTGGGGGATTACAGGTAAAAGATTTGATCCAGAGGATTAAACCCTGGAAACTCCAGAGACAGCCCCAGCTCTCTCTCTGCCTCCCTTTTCCTCAAGGTTCCTTGAGCAACCTGACGTAGTGGAAGATGTCCCTGCCCATGGCAGGAGGGTTGGAACTAGCTGATCTTTAAGGTCCCTTCCAACCCAAACCATTCTATGATTCTACCAAAACTATATTAAGATAGTCTGAAACACTAAAGGGCATCCGAGGCAGGATTTTGGAGAACAGGTAATGAGGGAGCAGTCAGATCCCGTTAAAATGCAAGACACAAGGCAGCTTAACCACACCTCTGCCCGAGACAGGTTTATGTACCACCCTGAGCTCCACCTGCTAATTACAGCCCTGAACAGATCTTATCAAGAGCTTCACAGTGGTAGGACTGCAAAGCACTGCAGAGTGTCATCATCCCTATTAATAAAGGGGGAGCCTGAGGCACATCCAGCTATTGTCACTCGCCTGGCATCACCCAGCACGGTCAGGGGAAGCAGAATTTCGGCTCCCAGCCAGGATTTTGTCCCCTCCCCTGTAGCAACATAAGCAATTTAAGGAGAAAAGCTCGCTGAGTTCACACTATACATCTGACCCTACTTGGCAGATTCTCTTCTGGTTGACATGGCCAATTCCTTATCTTTGTCTTTCGAACAGAGACGAGGAGAAAATTGAAGAGGCATAAAAACACCAAACTGACTGACATGCACATAAGTAAATAGCTGTTAGTGTTTCGGGCTGCTGTATAATCTCCTCACCACTCACCCTGCCATTCCTTGTGGAAATAATGTTATCTGTAAAATACATTCACAAAGTTAGATAGCTTGGAAGAAAAGGCCATGGATCAAGGAGACTCTGGCTACTCAACTGACAGTTTTGCTATAATACTTCTGCAAAGCTATTGAAAAGGCACATAATTTGGAGGGGAAAATAAAACAGGAAAAAAAAGACTATCCTCATCCCTCCACTCTCTCTCCCTCCCACCCATATGACCTACATTCCTGGGAAATTCATTGGAGTCAGGGCAGACTCCTGAATCGCTGTGGCATTGCCGAAAGCATCATCCAGAACACGCAAGCCCAACCTTTGTGCTGTGAACGATAACAGCAAATATACGAAACGGTTCAAAAACCTGACTATACAAAGACATTTTATGGGAAGCTCTCCAGTGAAGATCACCTGCCTGAGTTCTACCGTTGCCCAGGATGAAAGCGCTCCTCTTTGGAAAAACTTTGACCCCTGCTGAGATAGATCTGGGTGCAAAGAGGAAGATGACTTGATCTGCAATAAAGGCAGACATCTCCCACCTGTAGATGCTGTAGGAGAGGCAGGACTGCAGACTCACAGAGCACCTACACGCACCAAAAGTGCTCAACACCGCGTGCTGCAATGCCTCCTTTCCACCAAAACACCCCTATAGCTGGCCCGATTAACCTGCCCTACAGAGTGCACCTATGTCCTCCTCTGCACACTCGTGGAATTTCTCTTCTAACGTCGAGCTGCAGACTCACCTGGTGGCTGCTCGTGCAAAGCCAGCACAGTGAGCCAAGCGATTGCACGGTTCGGCTGAGCAGCTAAAACCGTACCGCACTGCAAACATGCAGTTCCTATGCTGCCTGCTGATCACCGTGATGGGACACGAGGTGGAGCCATGGGAAACAAAGCCTCGCTGTCTACAGACAGGCATTTACTGGGGCAGACTGACTGCAGCGACATTAAATGAAAGAAAGGCTCAAAAATTGCTGCGAGGTCTCCGATTACGGGGCATTTCCCCTCCCATACGATGTGTTCAGTTACACTGCCTGTTATCAACCAAACGAGGAGAATTTCGTCCCCATCCTTGGAAGAGGGAGGCTCCAATGTCTCACCTGATTACTGTGGGTGTGATTTCAGCACAGAAGAACACGCTGAGGCTTCCGACGGCATGCGAAGAAAACATACCCACGATGGAAAAGGCGGTAGAGAATTTGTCTTTGACGCTGTCACTCATACCTGCCAAGACAAGTGTGTTCATAAAAAGTGAGAATGAGGCCAAACTTCCGAGGAAGAAAACAAGAAAACAGGTTTATGTTACTCATTCTCCCTAGACAAGAATTTGAGTCATTTTTGTAATACTAATTTAAAACTGGTATTTATAAAATCCATTCCCCGAGCACCCAAGACACAAACATACGCGAAAAAAACCCCAAAATGTCATGCCAAAAATGGCAGCAATCTCCGAATTATTTATGCCCAGCCACCACAAAAAGGTAAAACCCAAGAAAAAACACATCTTTGGGCAGCCTTTTAGGCACCAGCCACTTCCCTCCCAGGTCTGACAGACACACGGAGGCAGGCAGCGTTCATCAAGTTGCCAAACATCTGGTACAGCTCGGTGGCTCAGGCACTGGAGAGGCTTGCAGGGCAAGAGGGGCAAGAAATAAAAGTGCTCCCGTCTCCGTGCCAAGCCCCTGCACGTAATCAGTCTGCAGACTCTGTTGTGACCCCCAGCTTGACAGTCTTCGCCTGACAACTCTGGGTGAGAAAAGCTGATGCCATGGATGGTGAAGCACACCCCTAAGTCACCGTGTCCAGCAAGGCTGTTTGCTCAATTGTTTCCCATCTGGATGACAGCGAGGTCTCCAGGAGTGAACAGTGTCTATCAAGCACGGGGAGATACCCCAGTAAATCTAAACAAAGCTAAAGGAAGCTGTCTCCTGGCCACAATGACAATACATCCCTCACTTGATCCCTGCTAGCCACCTTCTGCAGCCAGGGACGAGATATCTGATCTGGGGTTGTACAAGCTCGGGTGGTCCCACCTGGCCGGCGAAGAAGCCACGTTGTTTGCAGACACTATTGCACCATACGAGGGGAACACATCGTGTCTGATGGAAGCACTGGGGAAAGGACTGGAGCTTTACAGCCAGCATTCCCCAATTTCCTACAGCCAAGTCCCAAGATCCGCCCGGAGAACGGGCTGCTCATCAGCGTGCAGTCCCAAGCAGGTGCACTCTCTGGGTTGGATCCAAAGAAAAGCAACACCTGCCTTTGTTCTTGCTGAATATATCAGCTCCCAGGAGAGCAAAAGGTATTCGGGAGCTCTTAGTTTACAACTTCTGAAATGTGCTGCAGCCAGCTCAGGGCTAAGCCCTTTCTGCAATGCACCCCAAGTCTCGAGGAGAGAACAAATGCTGCCAGCAGGTAGGGATGTAAGCGTGACACCTTGCAAACTAAGGGTGTCTGAGGTTCCCTGGCAACTCTTGCATAGCTGGTGAGGCTGCGCTGCTGACCTCGCAGGGAGTCGTGACTGCTCAGTAAAACAGACTTTGGAAAAGCTGGGCAAGGACAGGTCTGATATATCAAATACAGAGGGTAAATTTTGTTCCCCTGCAGCCTGTCTCTGCATTGCTACTACAGTACTCCAGGCTGGGATAAAGTGCCCAGGGAAGCATTTTCTAAGGTGCTTAAGTTTCGTTATCACAAGGGACTTTGGCATCTCAGACCTTTATGGAAAAGACCAGACTGGGAATGTTGCTTCTGAGAAGGAGACTTTGTGGGAAAGCATTGCCCCATATCTAAAAATAAACCTTGGGGGAGCTCTGCACCCTTTTTTGACATGCAGAGGCAAGTCAGACTGTGGGGGATGCTACACCGAGAGACTGCATATAAACAAACGGGGCTGCCTACAAGTGGGGTCCCAGAAGTGGGTTTTCCTCCTGCACCCCTCTGCGGCAGCAGCTCCGCTCTGGGTGCTTTGGTCCTGGCCTTCCGGATCCAGCCGCTCCCAGGGGAGCACTTCCTGCATGATGCAGAGGAGTGTGTAAACCTTACCTGAGTCTGGAAGTTGACTGTATTTTCCAATCACTGCATCCAAGCCCACGGAAGTTAGAGGAAGAGAAAAATAAAAGGAAGGGAGAGAAAACAAGAACATACTGGTTACATATGCAATTTATCAAAAACCAGACAAACAAAAAAAACAAACCAAAGGTAAATCCCACATACTCCCCCCAGCCTCCCCTATATGATTCTCCTTTCCCATGCCATAACTGGTACATCTCACAGCCACCAGGTAGGACATGCCACTTCCAGGCCGCTTCCAGCTGGAGGACAGCATGCTAATGAGACAGTGATAACAAACACAGCGGTAAAGCATTTTTAAGAGCCTCAGAACTACCACTGGGATTAACACAAAAGTCTCTTTGTCTTAACGAAGAGGGAGAAGAGAAACTGCCCTCCTGCTGCAGCCCTGAGGAAACGGCCAACAGAGCTTCAGCTAGAGAGCACCGGTGGGAGACCTCTTCCTTGCCAAAAGCCTGAGCTGGTGGTCCACGTGTCACACCAGCCATCAGCTGCCACGTGTCCCAGCTGCAAAGGAGTGCATGGCAGTACTGGGCATTGGCACGAGCTGGGCACGGGTCTGCCGGTGATCTCCCACCAGGCTCCTGAGACATCCCAGGTGACACCCCGGCATCCGGAGGAAGGGCTGGACACGGTGAGGCTCAAGGTCTGCTGTGGGTTTGCTGCTGATAGAGAGCACTCCTCTCCCTCTCTCAGCCTCCTTCTCAAATTCTGGTTTCCTCTGCTAATTACACCCAAATTATGCTGAACTAAAGCATGCAGGAGGCTGTAACAGATTTCGTAATCAGCAGGGTCACTGCTTCTCTCCAAACACTGTCTAGCTCTTCTGAGGAAGCGGAGGGGCATGGTCTAGAGCTGGGAGAGACGACCTGCTCTGAAGTTTCAGGCTGCCTTTCCTTCCTGTTGTCCCAAAGAAAGGTGCGAGGGCCGAGTTGGGAAGGCTGACAGGTGCATGGCATCAAGAGAATTCTATGTGCCAACATGGCAGAAAGCACCTAGAGCCAAAAGCTGCTTTTAGTTTTAGCAACTTTTCTCACAAAACCTCCTAAACCTGTTATGGAAAAGGTTTTTTCCACAACATTTTTTCATGACAAAGATGTCATTATTTCCATGACATCTTAAAAAAAATAATTAGACAAATCTAGAGTAGAGAGACCCTGATGGGCACCACCACAAGAACGTGGAGTTTTGGGAGATGGCACACGCACAGAGCGTGCATCTGCGTGTGAATGGCCACGTCTGTCAACGGGCTGGCAATGAGATGGGGCCAGCGGGCTTCTCCCACCCTCAGCTGGGACTGCCAGACATGGTAAACGTGTGCTCAAAGGGAATGTAAACATCTGTGCCAAGCTGGGACTGAACACACATGATTTTGGAGTTTCCTCCATGTCATGAAAGAGTTTCCCCGTTTCCCTCCTACAAATAGCGTATTTGCTAAAGACAAACTCAGTAAACGCTTTCGGGAAACACGGTCTGTAAATATGGACAGTCCTTGCTGGCTTGGGGCTGCCTCCAGCATGCGGGAATGTGAAATCTTTCCATCCTCAATGCAAAAAACTCTTTCTCATTGAAGCCCTTAATTACTTCTAAACTTAGAAATGAAAACCAGCCCATGTTCTGATGTTCGTCTCATCCAGTTTGTCCAAAGCGTGTCTCAGCCCTCTTCCCCCTTCCTTGGGGTGAGGTTTCATGGGACAGAGGTCTAATGGTTGGCAACTGCGAGGGTGGCAAAGCATATCCCACCTTCTCTCTGCTTCAGCATTTCTCTGATCCATCAAGTTCAACTTCCTCAACCGACAGAAACTTAAGACAAGGAAATAAAATAAAAATAGGAAAGGGAATATTTCTGTAGCAGTTTTAATAGCCGAAGCAGCTCAAAAGGGCCAGAGAAAGGTCATTGCCTGCAAAAGAGGAGGTGGGACACTCTTGCTTTTGGCAGGAACAACCCATTTGAAAGGCTGTGGCACCTCACAAAATCATGTCTATACGTTCATATGGACTATACGTGAACATCATGTTAAAACTATGGTCTCTCAGCTGCGTATTTCCGTGCTATCTGTATATTACTTGCATGTAGCAAGATACTCAGAGCAGGCAGAGGACACACACATACACCTACTGCTTGAACTTCTGTGTGGTTTAGAGGCTGTTTGAGAAGGAGACTCGAGTAGGAAAGTTTTCCCTTCCCAATCCCTACCCATCTCCTTCCCCAGAGGCTATTTCTCTGACATAAAATTAAAAGCGTTTTTTGCTTGCTTGTCTGTTTTAAGTGACAGCCCTAGAGGCAGCACCGATGCTCAAGGAGCTTCACCACAGGGACTCAATCAGAACACAATGCCTTTTGTTAACGAACATAAGACAACAAGTGTTTGGGGAATCCTCCAAATGAATTCAGCCTCTTAAACTAAGTGATGTGTGGCATGTCAAACCTGAGAAAGGCAAAGCAGATGCTAGTATTTCCCGGTCCCTTATTTGCACGTCGAACTCGTGTGGTCCTGAAAAGCTCTCCTCTCCAACTTACAGTTGAGAAGGCCCAGCTGCAGAAGCGATGCCAGGGCTGTAAGGATCATGAAAAGCAGGAGTCCTCCTCTCCTCCCCAGAAACCCGACTACCGGGCACATGGCCAGGCAGGATGCCAGCGCGATCCCAGCCATGGTGTAGTAGTCAGCGTAGAAGTTGTGGGTGATGGCCATCTTCGCTTCGTGCCCCATCATGCTTTTTGCAAAACAGTGGTGTATGCCGTAACCAGTCAGCCTGGGGGAAAGAGGAGAGGGCAAGGGGAGATCGGTGCTGAGAAGGCAGCCGTGCACTGCAACGTGATGCAGTGTAGGAACATGTTAGCGTAGGAAGCGTTTCTCCTGATGCAGGAAGACAACACCTGGTGCAAAAAGACTCAACTCCGGCTTCTAGGTGCTACTGTAAAAATAAGCAATGATCAAAAGAAACAGAAGAAAAACCCATTTCAGCCAGACGCTTGCAATCTACTGGCTTCATATGTTGCTCAAGATCGGGGTATGAGCAACTCTACAAGGACTCCTAGCACGTGACTGGTTTTCCCAACATATTTCAGGACTCCCTTGTCTTGAGAAAGGCATCTCTCTGTTCCCAGTGCATCTGCTGACGGCCACAGAACCAGTGCTGCTGTGATGAAGCAGCCCATGTGCTTGGACTGCAAAAGACAACACTCACACGTGTCTTCCAGGAAGACCCACCTACCTGGCGCACTCGGTTGTACTGAAGATTGAGTCTCACTTCCCAAGTTAGCCTATTACAACTTAAAACCCCCTTAGGAAAAAAATATTTGAAGGCATAGGTTGCGCTGCAATGATTATTAGGAAACAACAAGCCCTAATCCAGTCTATGTGTTTACACCACTCTTCATAGCAATGCGTCTCCCCTTCTTCAGAAAGTTTCTTTGTCATGCCAGTGACCAACATCCTGCCACTCCATTTCACTCCTCTTTCTCCTGTCTCCCTCTGCCTTTCCTAAAAGAAGGAAAGGGAAAAGGGGAAGAAGGGGAAGAAGAAGGGGAAGAAGAAGGGGAAGAAGAAGGGGAAGAAGAAGGGGAAGAAGAGGGGAAGAAGAAGGGGAAGAAGGGTGCTGGAGGTACAGAAGTCAGATGAGAAGCCCCAGCATCATCCCTGCCACGGTGCAAAACTGGGAGGTCAATGCTCCCAACCACCCCCATCGCAGCACAAATACACTGCTGGGAAGGGCCTCCTGTCCCGGGCGTTTAGACCAGACAAACCTCATGTCACAAGTTAATTGTGCCTGACAGAGCGGCAGGAACAGATCCAGGTCTCTACAAAATGAATGGCAGTTACGTTCCACTGATACACCTCTGGCCTTCTGAACGTCATGAATCTGAAGCTCTGTCAGAGTAAGCTGGATATTAATAAAAGCACAGAAATGGTTGGGGGAATACGCAACTGCTGAGCACATGACAGCCCAGGGAATTTCTCTTGCCATCTTGTGAATCAATGCTATAGTTCAAAAATACGCTACCAACACCAAACACCTTCCCCCTGATAAAAACCTACCACGAGTACTTGCTGTTACACAAGAATAAAATTTGCTTTGGATATCTAGTTATAACTAAGTCCTCCCATAAGAGAAATATGAATCAGTAAAGTAAGATTTAATAAGAGGGCAGAGTTACGCAGTGTGCATCTCCTCTCTCTCTCTTCTGCGCATGCAAACACACTTGCTGAAGCTGTTATTTAGGCCATGTCCTATAAACTAAATTAATGTATCATTTGGACTTTGCTTTCCAGCCTGCTTCCCCAGGAATTACTCTATTAGTTGCTGAGCAGCTCAGAACAATTGCTTTTAAAACTAAATACATTTGTCTCCCTTGCTGTCTCGTCATTCCCTGCAAAAGGTTCCTTCTCCCTATCCCGTGCTACTAAAATTTAGCACAGCTCCATCTAACAGGAATAATAGAATTAAAATCAAACATCTTTTTTTTCCACCCCCTAAAAACAAACATGAAAGCTATTTCCTCACATCTGCTTCATGCTCTACTTGGATGGCAAACAGCCTCTGTGTGCTATTGCCAGAAGTCACTCTTTGGGCTGCCTAGATCTGGTTTAGGGAATTTCCACGTGTCTGTGATTAAAAAGGGGAAGGGAGAAGAGGAGAATTCCCCATGTAAAGGCTTTTCACAAACACAGTTAGTGCTGGCTCTTAAATCTACCAGCTCAGCCTAAGGGGAGAATGCTGTTTCAGAACAGAGGGAGTCACCCACATGTGAGCGGGAGAGAGACACGAAATCATAAAACTAGAAGTTGGTTCTGCAACCGCTATGGTGGAGACGGACCCCCAAAAGCCATGTGGCCTCTGGGTGACTATCTGCCCAGCACAGGGGCTGTCCTCTCTGGGTTACAACTGATCCATGTGCCTGTTAATGGGGGCTGCAGAGTAGGGCCCTGAAGTGATGAAGAAAAAGCTATGTACTTCTGAAGAGAGGATGGGGCGTTTCCAGTCTTCTCTCCACCTCCCATTTGGAAAAAATGGGTATTTTATAAGACAGAAAAATCAGAAAATCCACCCCTGCTGCCCCTCTAGAAGTCAGGTTTAGTTGGAGGCTAAATTTGCAGCCCATCTATTTCCTCTCTTCAAGGTGCTCACTTTTGGACAGAAGGTCTCAGAACCTGTCACCTGCAAAACTCTCAGGCAGGTGCCTGGCTTTGCTCTGCTTTTGAAGACCTATGAAGCAAAGCTGCTACACCAGGGAGCAGGCTTGTATTTACTGGCAAGCAACATCTTAATCATAGAATCATAGAACGGTTTGGGTTGGAAGGGACCTCAAAGATCATCTAGTTCCACCCCCCCTGCCATTGGCAGGGAAATCCTCCACTACACCACGTTGCCCAAAGCCTCATCCAGCCTGGCCTTGAACGGTTCCAGGGATGGGGCATCCACAACTTCTCTGGGCAACCTGTTCCAGTGCCTCGCCACCCTCAATGTAAAGAATTTCTTTCTTATATCTAACCTAAATCTGCCCTCTGTCAGTTTAAAGCCATTGCCCCTTGTCCTGTCGCTACACACCCTTGTAAAAAGTCCCTCTCCAGCTTTCCTGTAGGCCCCCTTTAGGTACTGGAAGGCTGCAATAAGATCACCCTTTTGCCCAAGGGCAGCTGTCCCACACTCCCTCAGCCTGTCTCCAGAGCAGAGGTGCTCCAGCCCTCGGATCTTCCTCTGCAACGCCGGCATATCAGATGTAAACAACTTGAACTCATACTCCTGTGGCACTAATGGTTTCAAAAATCCCACCCGGGATGCCGGCAGCAGATGTCTGCCTGCGTGAGCGTGTGAGATCTGTGGGACCACCGGCGAAAGCGATGTGCTTGCAGCATGACACTCGAGAAGACACGTGGTGCTGCTGCCTGAAACGGCCAACGATTTCCTCCACATTTGCCATAAAAAAAAAGTTCCCTGCAACAGCCAGTGGTTTTCCAGCATCATTTATCGAAGACTCTAGTGAAGAGTCCCACACTAGGAGACAGAGGAGCTCTCCCATCATTTCCCATTACCGCTCCCGTTTCACCAACCACGTAACTCAAACAGAAAGAGATGGGACTTACGAGTTCACACACAGTACTACGATGTTTTTCCACAGGTTCCTGGTTCCCACCACTTTAACAATGCAGACTTTCTTCGGCCTCCTGGTGATCTCCCTTTCCAGCTCTGAAAAAAAACAAGCCAAAATTATTCTTTCACTGGGAAGAACAAGAAGGAGAAGCTTCACTTGTGAACTACAGATACTCTGAGGGATGTTCTGGAGAGGAGGATGCTATCGATTACACTAACAAGAGCTATAAAAATGCTGAACAGCTCGCCTAAAAGTCCACCTCAGGTTATTCCTTTTCTTCCAGGCTTCCTTTAACCTTCTTGGGGCCGAAGAACTGCCCAGGAACTCCTTCACACCCCAAACCTTCTCCCAGTTTAAGGCCTGTATGTAAAATGGGGCAACACGGAGCTTGGTTCCAGCAAAAAAATTTCCTGAAGAACTTCAGCATTCTGTGAATTTTTAAACCCTCACAGGCAGGACTGTGCTCATGCAGGATTGCTCTCAAAGAAGATCCCTTAGCTCTCTTACAAGATCTGTTGCATTTCTGCAACACATACCCAAAATCCATGGAAAGGACTGGAGCTCAACCTCATTTTTTGTGGGAATCTTTTGAGGTTTGTTTAAACTGAGGTTTGTTTAAACCGAGGTTTCAGAAATAAGTGGCTAGGACACTATGTCAGCTCGTCCTCTCCCCTGAATTCATTTCAAGTATTTAAAATTGTTCTGATGGATGCCCTGCACAGAAGACATTTCCTTAAAGAAAAATCTCCGGGCGTCATCAGCTGTGACGTGTTTGCATTTCAGAACTAAAACCTCACCACGTCCTTTAAGTGCTGGGCAGCTGCCAGCTCACTTTTCTTTGCAATGCTATAGTGACACGTAAACCTCACCAATATTGCATCCGATATTCTTGTTGGGGCAGGACAAAAAATGAAGGACACTGCTTACTTCCCAAATATCATCATGTTAGAGCTTGAACCACTGTTTCCAAGCTACGGGATCGGTGAAAAAGCTGCAAAAAGTCCGGTAAAGACGGAAGAAGCTGTAGCTATAAAGCAGCATCACAAAAACGATGCAACTCCTAGAGTTTTTTTTTAAGGCAAAGACTTGTGCTGCTGCTTTCTAGACTGGCTGCTTTTGATGGCAGCAGCGTGGCCCAGTTTTGGACCGTGCATCCGTTCCCCTCGCGCATACGCAATTAGCCGGGGTGTCCTCGCTTGCCCGCGCTGGCCTGCCCCGACCTCAGCCATCACTTTAAGAGGTGCAGTACAGGGGAAAATAGAAGCAAGCCCCGGGGAAAGAAATGAGATAAATCGCCCTAATTTACAAACAGAACAACAAAAGACAAGTTTTTCTGCTGTTATTGGAAAATTGTATCATAAAAATAATAAATCAAAGGAACGCTATTTATATGCAAATAGCTGAGCTATTCACTGCTCGTGGGTCACTCCTGGTCTTCTATCCAGAGTAACCACAGGGAACGCTTCTGAGAAAAGCAGCAAAGGGTATTTTACATTAATGATTGTACTTAAGCAGAATATTGCCAAACCACCTCCCTTACTACCTGATGATAACCATTTCTCTCCAGAATCTACCCAGTGTGAAGCTCACAAAAGCATAAAAACAGAGGTGGAGCAAAAGAGGAAATTGGTCAAATTAATATTTGTACTACAGGAGCACTCAGCAGGCTCAGCAATGGATCAGGGCTATATTGAAAAAATAAGCAATAAAAAAAGATGGTACCAGAGCAAGGTCAAAAGGATTTCTGTAGGAAGATTCTAGAAAGGAGTGAGTGGGAATACAATAATTCAGAACAACTGAAGCAGTTAGATAAAACATAGCTATAAAGCCTGTAACTGAGCCCGAGCCAAACCTTCTACAGCGAAAAAGTCAAAGTGAGCACTAGAAGCAGCACGAGGTTTTAAAAAGCTGTTGATGACTGCTTACTACTTCAGCTGAAGGGCAGCAATACAAATCACCACCCAAACAACACACTTTGCACAGATTTCATGTAGACCTTTGAGAGTTCACTCTCAAACTAAGAATGATGACCAGATCTGGCCTGTCAAAGTAAAACATCTCCTTCTCCATCAGTCTGATGCCATATATTTAGAATTTTGTTAATTTGGGGTTTTTCGTTTCTTAAAGTAATTTTTACTTTTTTCTTTGGGAAGAGAAAGTAGATTTTATTGCCCATATGTGCTTTATTGAGCCACAACTTCATAAAATTAAGAGAAGCAACACTTAACTTGGTTACGCTTCTTTTCGGAGCCAAACATTGTTTTGCCCTCTGCTCCTGCTTTGTTCATACATTAGGGGCTGCTACAATCCATATGTTCTTTATTTATTGTCACGTGTCCTTCTCGTTGGCACTCGGGCCCCCTTTGAACCTTTCTTACAAATCAGTCCTTCCGAACGAATTCTCGTTAGTGTTTTCCACTGAACTGCTGTTCTGCCCTCAAGTAATGGACAGCCCGTGGTGGGTTAAGTGAACTGGCAAACACCTCCTCTGCTTCAGCTGCAGTGAGATCCCACACCGAGGGGATTTCAGCCCTTCTCTGTCCTGCCTCATGCAGCTGTCTCCCTTCAGTGGACCCTTACTTCTGCTCTGATGGGGGTTATACTCCATGAATACACAGCACTATCATATGAAGATGTCCCAAAAGTGATTCCAGATGTAGCTGCATTACAAAGATTAAAGAAAACAAAAAAAAAAGAAAGAAACGAAAAAGGGAAACAAAGAAAGCAAAAAAAAAAAAAAATCTGGCCTCAAATTTTACACCAAAGAAGGCAAACAGGACCTGACTTTTTACTGAAAGCCCTCTGGCTCTACCAGCTATTTACTCCTCCATCCCTCTACAATCTAAGCCACCTGCTTCAGATGAACAACTCTTCCCAAGTCTCCAACACCATCTATCTTTCTGACAAATTTCTGCACCCTTTATTTCTATATATACCAGTCAGATGTTCTCAAAAAAACCCCAACCCTACTGCAAAATCAATTATTTACAATAATCAAAACACTGTTCAGACAGCAATGAAAAAGCTATGTGACTTGCAAAAAAAGTCATCACCTGCAGAAGTGGCTTTCATTCAAGTGGCTTGCTGTTTGTGGAGGTAGCCTGCTGGCACAAAAGGACCTGCTCTGACTGTGACAGGCACCAGGAGAGAGACAGCTCCTAGGCTGGCTGCACTTCATAGGTTAACATTAAGATCTTAAAAGAGAAGTCAAGCCAATGCCTATTAAAACCCCATGGAAGCCAACTATTGCTCTGCCAGTTACTGGAATAACACCAGGAAAACTCCCCCTACCCCCAACTTAGTCTTTGATTTTGCACTGAAGTCACCAGTTCGGAAGGAGTTTGCATTAAAGGTTTCAGTTCTGACTGATTTACCAGAAAGGCAAGTGTGGAAAATAAAAAAAATATTTTTATCCATTTACTCAGAGGCCCATTTTGAGTTTTCCCATACTCCGGAGCCCACACACACTCTAGGCTTCCTATTCAGGGACTCGGTAGGAAAACTGTCAACAAGCTAACTCTTTATATCTCAGTGGAAATTAAAACTATTCATTGGGAGACTTTAAAAGTCTCATGGGGAGGGGAACCCCACCAGCTTCCAGCTCCCAACGCTGCTGAATTCTCGTGGGATCCTCTGTGTTTCAGGAGCACGGCTTTCAAAACCAGCAAGGATCTTTCAAGCCTTCAAATGAAGCCACCCACCTCTGCATCACTTGGCAAAGACAAAATAGACAAAGCTCAAATCAAGCTACCGAGAAAGAATGTCCAAAATGACAGGTGTCCTGTGGTGATGGACTTCTGCTGGATTTTTCTGGCTGCTAAACGATACTGTCAGCAGCTCTTTGAACATGAAAAGAGCTATGGAAGCCCAGCACAGAGTCTCAATCAATCCCCGGAGCAGGACAGCTCTGCAGCAGGAGGTAGAATGGTCCAAAATGCAGAGCTGAAGCAACCTACTCTCAGCCACACTGAGTTACTGCTACACAGGGTTATTTATGCCCTCCAGGATTTCTGTCTCCATGAACTCCCTTTGTGGTCATTCATTTATTTATTTTTTTTTTTAACCATGGAGGACTAGCAGCCTGATACATTGTGTTTCTGAAAAGCCTAATAGTAAAGGAATATTGAAGGCTACCAAGTCACATACAGAACTTACGAGGTGGGTAAGAAGCTAAGTAATGGGCAGAGAGCAATAAGGGGTGAAAAAATGGAAATTGCAAGTGGATGGCAGGAGGTTAGTGGCGGGAAGACTTGTCTTATTCTCAGAAAAAGAAATCTAGTTTAATAACTTCACTAGGGAGCTTGGCACAAACCTTAGGAATGTGCCAACGAAGTTTGCTGATGACAAAGTGAGGCACTGCCAGCAGTGCAGCACAGAAACGGGACATCAGAGGCAACAGGGTGAGCTTGAGACTGTCTGCAGCAAAAGTAAGTAAAAAATGGAAAATTCAAGGTAAGACACTCAGGGACTAATGGGAAATGCTTCTGCTGGAAGGTAACACTGGGTTGGACTTGGTTACACGCTACTCGATCACAAGTGACTATAAGGCACCAGCCTGTTGTGTCCATGAGGCATTTGCAATTCAGACAATGAAATGCTGGAGCTCTTTTACAATTCTGGTCATCAATATTTGAGAAACTAAAGCCTTGGCAAGCCTATTTATAAAAGAAGAGGAGATAGAGAACTTCAGCTCAGCAAAGGAATGGGGCTGCTGTCTGCTCACATGGCATTGCAAAAGCGAAAAAGAGATTTAAGATAAAGACAGGAGCAAATGGGAAGGGAAAAAAGACAAAGAACCTGAACAGCTATAGTTCTGAATATGTTCTATATATTTGAATACATTCTATATCTTTGAACACATTCTATAGTATTTGAATGGAATGCTAAAGTGTACCCCAGTACAAGAGCAATTTGGAATCCAGAATGGCCTTCCAACAAAAGCACGAGACATAAACACTAATGGCATTTAAAATGAAGCTCATTTCATGAGAGCAACTGTATAACTCGATGACTATAACAGCAAAGGATTGGTTGCAATAATTTGTTTAAATCCGGTACGTCTAATTACATTCAAAAAAAGATAGGACACAAGGTT